TTTTTAAACATGTCCTTATTAGTCATTTGACGTTAAACAACAACCGTTAACTATTGTATAACCAAAAAGTTATATTTATCGAATCCGCTATTTACCATCCGCTACCCATTTTCTGCTATCCGTCATCCGCTATCCGTCATCCGTCATCCGCTATCCACTAATCGCCACCCGTTACCCGCTACAGCTATCCGCTATCCGCTACCCGCTACTCGCTATCCGCTGAATTTTAACCACTGTACCAAACACGCCCTTAATCTCAGCAAACCACGATTTAGTTTTTAGTTTGATGCCCCTCTCATCTACACTTTCCATTTCACGGTGCTTTAGAGCTTGTCAATTTACTTTCAATTAATGCAGTTTCTTTACTTTTGAGTTCAAACCTTTGTGTTTACATTTAGGCTATCTAATTTACTTTCTTGGCTCTTTAATGTTTCAGTTTGTTTATATTTTTGCCAATAGTAGGAATCAATTTATACATATATAAATCTTACACAACCACTTATATTAAATTTTAAATAATTATTGCAGTACTTACATTATCATATTTACCCTTGAAATTTAAAATGAGTAAATGAGAATTTGTACAAGACTTTATGTGTTATGTTATGATGGTCCCATCTCCTTTGCCAAAGCAATATTTATGGTATGTTTAGCTTGAGAGGAGGGGAGAGTAGAGGATGGGTGAAAATTCTTCAATTTAGTTAATGAAAAATTTAAAGACGAAGGGAGCTCTTTATTTTTTCAAATGAGGGAAGGGAAGGAGAATGGAAGAATTTCATATCCTTCCATTTCCTGTCACTTTCTTTCATTTATTTCAAACTAAATATACTGTTATGCGCCATTGTCCATTCAATATAGTTGTGATTTTTAATTTTTTTGTTTTAGTTTTTAAAATTCAAATAATTAAAATTAATAATTGAAAAAAATTAAAAATTAAAAATGACAATTGGTTGGGTGTAAAGGTTTAAAACTAATACCTAAAAGTTCAAACTTAATTAACTTATAGAATTTCTTTATTTTATTATAGAATTTATAATTTTTTGAAAACCAAAATAAA